CTCAACACTGTTCACCCGTTCTCATCTCCAAACATATCCACTTCAAATCCACTTTTTGCGTACAAAAGTACAAATCTTAGCTCCAACGTTCCTGTCTCCACTGGCTGTTGACCACTGACAGTCAACCTTTTTATTCTTGCCTCTTTCCCCGGCTGAACGGCTGTGTGTGTGTGGTACGGGAGAGGACTTCGATTATACCCTCCTCCTTTTTGCCCCTCGGTCTCTGGATACTCTCTTTTTTTGCCGCTGAGCTTGAGATCACTTTAAACTCTCGACCTTTCCGCCACCTTTTATTATTTTAATTTTCCAATCCCCCGTCATAACATCTCCCTACTCTCCCTACTCTCCCTTCTTCTCATCTTCTATCTCTAACCATTCTTATCCATCATGGCCACTCATGTTATGACCAACACGACTACCAACCAGATTTCGGTTTATGGTCAGCCTTCTCCAACCAACTCCGCCACCAACACTCCCTCCAATAATTCCCCCACCTCCCCTCGCATGACGACCGCTTCACTGCACCAACTGCCTCTGCAGTCGCGCCAGCTACGTCCTCTCAAGGGTCCCCTCTATGTCCCTGCAGCTCTTCGACCCACTGCGCGACCCCAGAAATCGTCCCCTATTACCCCACCACGCAGCGTGCATGGCTCTCTTGACAGTTTGAACGAGGATTCATCCGAACCTATCAGCCGCCGCTCCACCATGGAGAGCCAGTCCAGCGGAATTAGCCAGAGCGCCCAGCATGAGTGGTTGAAGAATGAACACCTAGGTGTGGTAACCGGCCTTCCGACCCGCACACACTGGAAAGTGAGTTATCTCGAGACACCCCCCCACCCAAAAAATTATTTCCCTCTTTTCCTTCCTTCGGCCCTTTATAGGGATTGGGTTCGGTTTGGATTGCGCAGTTATTAAAGCAAATGTCGTGTGAGCTCGTCATTTCTCCGAAATGGCGTGCTGCAAGTCCACCGCTTCAGCCCTGTCGCATCCCAGCCATATATCCACTGATCACATTGGTCACTTTGAAGGACAACGATTGCTAACTTTATAATCCAGGCTGACTCTGCCTCTTCCAACTGTGATTCACCAACCTGTCGCTCCTCATTCGGTATCTTTCTACGTCGCCACCACTGTCGTCACTGCGGTCATGTCTTCTGCGCCTCTCACACACCTCACCTCGTTCCCCTCGATCAGGATGCTCGCTTCCACCCCGATGGTGTCCCATCCCGTGCCTGCGATCTGTGCTGGAGTGCCCACCAACGCTGGGAAGAGAACCGCTCCGACCGTCTGAGCAAGATCCAGAACACCATCGATGCTCAGCAGATTGGCATGTCTATTCCCGAGGACATGAATGCACAGGATCCCGAGTCCACTGTGGGCCAGACCGGCGAGGTCGCTGCCTCCGTTCCTCGTGACTGGAACTGGAGCACTTTCTAAACGCATTGCCCTGTTTCCTTTGGTTACTGTGGCCAGCAGGACTGCTGCAGCTCGGCGTTTCACTTGATCTATCTTAATATTCTCACTTTAGTCATGCTCACGCGTGACCTGTTTTTCTCTCTATTGGCGACCATGGCTTTGGCGTTTGTGACAGGCCCCGGGCCCTGGGCCTTGTTTCTTTGTTTTCCGCAGTCATGTTATGGCTTTGCATGTTTAGAGGGTTTTTATCGGTCCTTAGCGACCTGGTTCCTTTGCGTTTTTGCGTTTTTTTGCTTTTTGTTTCTTCTTTACTTTTCGTGGATATCAGGATACTCACCAGTCCTTACTTGGCCCGGTTGATTTCTGTTTCTGTTTCTGCCTTCTTTTTTTTTTTGTTCTTTGCGTTGATCAGGATACCCCGTCGGTTTTTATTGCGCGACGATCTCGTTTGATGTTTCTTCTTTACTGGTCGTCTTTATTGGTCCCTGATCCATGAGGGAATGTGGCAGATCTGCAATTCTCTCAAGTTGATATCTAGTTCGATTTGTTGAATCCATTGATATTGAACCTTGAGCTTTTTCTCTACTCGTAGACTATGATTGCCCCCTATTCTATTTTCTCTCTCTCTGTAGATCCTTATTTATCCAGAACCACCCGTCGGAACATACCCACATGCTCAATCCCTTCTTCGTCCCACCGACCCATCGATTGATCGGTCTCAAATCCAAGCCCAGCATATATCCTCTCCACATCCACCTGAGCATGCACGAGGACTAACCCCCGCCATGAAATCGGAGTAACAGGTGACTCCCCCCTCGCAGCGATCTGCGCCGCCGCCTCGTCTATCTCCGCCGCATGCACAGCCGCCCACCCCAAGGCGGTCTCCACTAGTCGTCGCCCAAGTCCGAGACCGCGGAACGACGGCATGATCGCCACCCGAGTCAGCTTGATACAGGGTTCATGTGTCCAGTCGTACTCGGGCGTTCTGTGTGCGACTGCCGATGGCGGTTCGGTGACATGGGCGTGTGGCACCTGTGGTGGGGGTACCAGGCGGATCACCCCCACGGGCGTGGAGCTCGCGGTGGAGTTATCGTAAAGTACCCAGTGCCAGCTGCGGGCATCGTCGCTGTCTATCTCGGAGTCTGCGGTGCAGTGCTGCTCGTCGATGAAGACGGACTTTCGGATTATCATTGCATCGTTGAAGATAGTGGGGTTGGTTTTGGTACTGGTGTCTAATGGAAGTACTAGCTTTGCGCTGGGTCCTGGAGGCGGCTGTATTGAAGTGCTGAACGTTGGTTTTGATGCCATACTGGTCGGGAATGTGATTTTGAGCACTAAAGGTCTTCGATGGAAATGATGGTGAGGATTTGAGGAGTGGAAGGAGTGGAAGGTCATAGCAGAAAGCGGATCTATCTGTATATTTATATACTATCGTTGAGATCAGCCACAAAACATTGAACGCTACACCTCATTAATTCGGATATAATTACAGACGAAGACTCTATAATCCCATAGTAGCAAAGCCATACATATAAGAGTCAGTATAATAAGCCATAGAACCGCTATATACAACATAGTCACTCTCAATGGCTCAACCCATACAATCCAATGCAAACAGAACAAACAACGTCAAAATATCAATTCGATCGCGAAAATCCTCAAATTCTCCGGTCAACATTCCATACTCCCAATGTCCCTCTACTTTGATGCGGTCGCTATCTTGACCGCACCCTCTTCAGGGGGTTCGTTCAAGTCCCGGGTTTACAGTGCTCGGAACCTGCGCGTATCTCCAGCGCAGATCTATGCCTTGACCACCGAGGCTGCTAAATGGGACACCGTCCTAGCAGATGTCATTGACAAATCAGGCATTCTCGCCCTGGAGCGTAAGGTGAGAGGATCCCCGGAGAGACCACCGGAGATACCTACTGACTGACCAAGTGATTTTCATTTAGCTTTCTCCCCTCCTTGCTCTCCTCCTCGTTCATGATCATCTACTCGCGAAGAAAGGCATTGCCGCGCCGGCTACCCACACACTCCGCCAGACCGTGGAGCGTCACAAGGCCAGGCTAAAGGCTGAGTTCACCAAGGCCCGTGTCCGTCGTGGGTGCGCCTCCGTCGAGCAATTCAAGGCTGTTGTTATGCGCGAGAAACGATTGGCCGATGGAACTAGCCATTTCGTCTACCCGCGCTGGGTGCGGATAAATAACATTCGCACTACCCTGGAAGACCAGCTGAGCACTACGTTCAAGTCTTATCGTCGAGTAGAGACCCTGGCAGAATTGGCCCCAGAAGACGAACTGGAAAGCCGAAAGCCAGAGCCTCGATTGTTTATCGATCCGAACATTCCAGATCTCGTGGCGGTGCCTTTCGGCGCAGACTTCACTGCCTCATCTGCGTACAAAAATGGAGAAATCATTCTCCAGGACAAAGCGTCCTGCTTCCCAGCGTATCTCCTGTTGGGTGACCGTGGGCCTAGCGACCCATGGGAGGGCGACTTGGTTGATGGCTGTGCTGCGCCAGGGAACAAGACTACGCACTTGGCTTCGCTTCTAGCCAAACAACAAAAAGGCAACAAAAATAGCAATCAGAGAATCTTTTCTATGGATGCATCTACCATGCGTTCCAGAACGCTGCAGAAAATGGTTGGTCTAGCCGGGGCTGACTCGGTCACTGTGCTGCAAGGCCAGGATTTCCTCGCCCTTGACCCAGAAGATGAACGGTTTGAGAATGTTACTGGTTTGTTGTTGGATCCTAGTTGTTCTGGTAGCGGAATCATCGGCCGTGACGATGTCCCTCAGTTCACACTTCCCATCGCGGCAGCATACAAGGCGCCCAAGTCACATGGAAAGAAAAGGAAGCGTCCAGACAATGACGATGAAGCAGATGGCGAACAGTCGAAAGCCACCATGGGAACCCCACAGGCAGCACCCACAGATGAAAATGATATCGCTGATGGGGCGATCGAGCCGGAGCGACTGACCAAACTATCAAGCATCCAAGCGCGGATCGTGGAACACGCCCTGCGTTTCTCGAATGCTACCCATGTGACATATAGTACTTGTTCTATTCACCTGATTGAGAATGAGGGCGTCGTGGCTCGCATTCTGAATTCCCCGGTTGCCAAAGAGCGGGGCTGGCGCCTCCTGCGCCGCGATGAGCAGCCTGAGGGCTTGCGTCGATGGTCCAAACGAGGCGTGCGAGAGGAGCGACCACCCGAGGGAGAGACAGGGCCATCGGGCACGGTAGATCTCTGTGACGAGGCACTAGAGGCGTGCATTCGATCCTGGCAAGGTGACGCAGAAGGGCTTGGAGGATTTTTTGTCGCTGGATTTATTCGTGACCCTGTTCATGCTGTCACGGCCGTTCCGGCGAAGGAATGTGAACATAATGAGCAGGATGAGCACGGCGAGAGCGATGAGAATGACGGAGATGGAAAAGATGAAGACGATGAAGAATGGGGAGGATTCTCCGATTAGACAAAATTATATTAATGCAAGTTTGCACGGCCTCCAACAATTCCCGAGGATACATCCAAGTCTTATGGTGTATTATGCAATTTAAGACTTGGATAGACGCACAGGCGACTAAAGGAATTTCCGTGACCGGTTTCGGACCCGCGGACTGGTATAAATGTCCAGTTTGACAGCAACCAAGACAACCTCGTATGCCTCAGTAGGTCCCCTCTGCACTTGCAATCGCCATTGCCCTGTCCGAACAACCCAGGGCCCATCGTCCGTATCATCGACTCGTGGGCGTTTAGCAGGAGGCACACCACCAGCGCCAGCTTCGGCCTGGGCTCTCGATATCGTCAAAAGTTGAGGGTCTTGTTCTCCATCCACCGTAAGATCAGTTTCACGGTCGACACGGACATTGATTGGAACTTGGCCTAATGGTGGATGTGAACCAGGCAGGTTCATTTTTTTGCCTACGGTCTGTAATAGACTGGTAATTCTCTGCTTTGAAAGGCCTAGGAAGTCAGCGCGCATGCTCCCCCGATGGATTAGACTAGTTTCGTCGCCGATCTCAACCACCAGATCGGCGGCGTTCTCGTCTGCAAAGGGGCGCGTGTATGTGACCATTCCACCTAGTGCAGGCGACCCAGAAGCTGTATCAAAGGCAAACTGAATCCCAGACGGCCGCACATCCTCGAGCCGGATGACGATTTCCAACCGATGGGTGAAGGGATTCGTTGTTATCTGATGTGGTATCAACTTTTGTTCCAAGCCGCGCAGGTGGAAATAACGACAGTCGCGTAGGAGCGCAGCCCGATGATTCTCATTTCTAATGTGTAGCGGATACCCGCGCAACATATGCAGGAGCTCATCAAAGACATCCGCAGATCGGTTTGGAACGCTTGGGGGGACGATGGCCGGAGGTCGCAAGAGACTTTGGCGGTCCAGGCCAGGGAACACTGCAGTCGGGCTAGCAAAGAAGGCGGCGAATCCGAGGGTAAAAAAATTGGGGCTATCACCGGGACCTGAGAAGATATCGCGAGGGATCTGGAAGTGTCGGTCGCCGATTTGAATAAAGCATTCGGACTCAAACAGCTGGGACATCAATCGGGGCACTGTTAGGTCAGCAATTACTTCCAGGGTGCCTGGAAAAGGGATGCTCACATGTATAAAATTGTGCATCTGCGAATAGCTTCACGAATTGCGCGCCATCCTGGGGCCGGACATAGTAGCCTGGATGCAATCAGCCTCCTTCACGTTGTGTTTATCCATGGACTCTCATACCCTGTAGATGTCTAGCGATCTCGTGGAACGTCGTGGGATCGCGATCGATATAGAGGGTCCTAACATTGGCAGCATCTTGACTCTGAAGCAACTGATCCTCGAAGAAGCGTGAAAAGTAGGATGGAGCTGTTGGAAAGGGTCAGTTCAGGTTCAAGTTTGAACGGGGGAAGAATATGCGCAATTACCGTCGGAGCCAATTGAAGCACCCGAGAGACGAAAGATCTCAGAACCAACTTGGATAGAGAAGACTTTCTCTGAAGGGAGATTACATTTGCTAGAGCGACTGATAGTGCGCATATCCATTGTGTGATGAGAGGTGTCGAAGTGCCGGAAGCGGAGAAGTTACCATTTTGTCTTCACCAACAACATCAACAACACAACAACACAAATTGCCCACTACCTACCTACAACACAATACACAATACACACAACAACTACCATATCACACCATGAAATCGAAATCGAATTGATTTGAAGTTGCTTATGATCAAGGTTAACTCGAGTCTCATCAGCGCAAAACTGATTTTCTCACATGGCGCTGGAACTCGGCAAATTCCCCCGCAAATGAGCCCGTGAGCGCCCTTAGTTCGGAGAAAGAGGGGGATCTACCTCTCTAGGGGATTTAGGTGGGAGCCGAGTCCTTGAAATTGTTGGGCAATGAAGATTTGCACGGTCTTAACTGGTTGACAGGAGATTCAAAGACTCCACCAGCGCAAGAATCAAGCCATGCTGAACGACTTCCCCACTCAACCGAGGCTTCACCCCCAGATTATGGGTTGTCTTTGGTTTGGGAGTGAAAGGGGCCGCGCATCACAGTCCCATGATAGAGAAGTTTATACTCTCTCCATGATCGTCCATACGAAAGATGAACCACTTTAAACTCTGACTATTGACCTCCTGTCACAGACTCACAGTGGAGCCTTGTCGAGCTAGCATATTATAATCCGTCACCCGTGCCCAAGTGGACTGATTCTCTCTTTACCCCACCATCTCGTTTCTTACTCTCATATCTCTTAATTTGCTCTGGTTCTGGCAAACATGTCAATCCACGCGGTGTCCATGTCCACATATACCCCGAGGGATGTCCCTCTTCCGCCAGCGCCTTCAGCCAATTACTTCTCGGAGTTACAGTGGAAGACCTTATATGCGTTGGCCGATGCAATCGTGCCCTCCATCCACACTGCGGCAACTGCCAAATCTTCAAATGACCGGGTTGTTTCAGATGCAGAGTGGAATTCTGCCGTGTCGAGCTTGTCAAAGATCATTTCTGGACCCGATGCCGTAAACATTGCCACCCAGTATCTGCAAGAAAATGTTTCTTCGAACCCGCAATTCCGGGCCATAGTGGAGCGACTCATGGGTGACTATGTGCATGATGAGGGAAGGAATGGGTTTGGGCTCATAATGACAGCGCTCAACACACGTACGGGCTCGTTGATTATGACGGGCTCGACCACCCCGATCCAGGACCAACCGGTGGAATTCCGGGAAAAGGTTTTACATGGATGGGATACCTCTCGATTGCCCCCTCTCCGCGCCATCTACCGAGGACTCACAGCCATAGTTAAGAAATGTTGGGTTATCAGCAGTCCAACCATAGGCCCAGTTCTGGGGTTCCCACGTGTTCCTGTTCATGGCAGACCTGCCGACGGTTTCCAGTATGAGTTTTTGCAGTTCCCTCCTGGGGACCAGCCGGAAACGATTGAAACCGACGTCGTCATCGTGGGGAGTGGCTGCGGCGGCAGCGTGACTGCAAAGAACCTAGCCGAAGCGGGCCATCGAGTGCTGGTTGTGGAAAAGTCCTATTCCTATGCATCCAACACGTTCCCCATGGGCCCGAATGAGGGGTTCCTCAGCCTGTTTGAGAGTGCGGGTGCTGTCTCTAGCGATGATGGCTCGATGGCAATCCTAGCGGGCTCAACGTGGGGCGGTGGTGGTACCATTAACTGGTCTGCATCTCTACAGACCCAGGGATATGTCCGACAGCAATGGGCGGATACTGGTTTACCTTTCTTCACCTCCCTTGACTTCCAGAAAAGTTTGGACCGCGTCTGTGATCGCATGGGTGTTAACGAAGAGCACGTTGAGCATAATCGCCAGAATAGGGTGATTCTTGAAGGAGCAAGGAAACTCGGCTATGCTGCCAAAACTGTGCCCCAAAATACAGGCCACGGCGAGCACTACTGTGGGTATTGCACTTTTGGATGCGCCTCGGGTGGAAAGAAAGGTCCAACGGAGTCCTTCCTTGTGGACGCTGCTCAGGCTGGCGCGAGATTCATGGAAGGATTCTGTGTCGAAAAAGTGCTATTCACCCAGATCAACGGTAGAAAGGTAGCTTCTGGCGTGCAAGGAACATGGAAATCGCGGGATTCATACTTGGGCCTCGGTGGTATTACGGCTGTGGAGCGTAAGGTGATTATCAAGGCCAAGAAAGTAATTGTATCAGCTGGCACATTGCAGAGTCCTCTTCTGCTGCTGCGTAGTGGTTTAAAGAACCCCCAGATTGGCCGAAACCTTTACCTTCACCCAGGTAAGCACTTTCCACTCTTCCCACCCCCCATAGCGCATGTTGTAGGCACTTACTCTTTTTATATAGTTATGGGAGCTAGTGCTGTCTTTGACGAGGAGACCCGCCCCTGGGAGGGTTCTGCACTGACAACGGTTGTTAACGAGTTTGAGGACCTTGATGGAGATGGACATGGTGTGAAGATTGAGTCTGTCTCAATGATGCCTCCCCTGTTCCTTCCCATGTTCCCCTGGCGAGACTCATTGGAGTACAAGCTATGGGCGACCAAGATGCGTCACAGTACGAGCTTCATCACCTTAACCAAAGACCGCGATTCTGGCCGTGTGTACCCGGATCCCGTTGATGGACGCTGCCGGGTTTCTTACGCGGTCTCTGCCTTTGACCGAAAACACATCGTGGAGGCCCTCATTGCCAGCGCCAAGATTGCGTATATCACAGGTGCAAGAGAGTTCCATACCGTTTACCGCGATATTCCCCCGTTCATCCGACCGGAGGCTTCAGACCCCGAGGGCCCTGAAGGTATCAACGACGCGGCCCTGCAGAGTTGGATTGCCGAGCTCCGTCGGAAGTCCCCTTTGAACCCGGAGCGTTGTTTATTTGCCAGTGCACACCAGATGGGCACCTGTCGCATGAGCAAGTCACCTAAATTAGGTGTGGTGGACCCGGATTGTCAAGTCTGGGGCACTGACGGGTTGTATGTTGTGGATGCATCCGTCTTCCCTAGCGCTAGTGGTGTGAACCCAATGGTCACCAACATGGCAATCGCTGATTGGGCCAGCCGAAACCTCGCGCGTGCGATGGGGACGGGACGAGGTGAGGGCAGGATGGCTCGTCTTTAATGGGAATGTCTTTGATAGGAATGGCCCGTAGGAGATCTCTTCAAGTTTTGCCAATATGTACTGTTTTAGTTGGACCACTTGAAAGCTACTTTCAAGGTTGTTTATATGTTATGATGTCCCTAGCACTATGCTGCGGTCTTTTCGGTTTCTATGATTCGGGTGCTCCGCGAAGCGGAATAAGACGTTTTATTTCGTTGCTAATTTATCTTCTTTTTTTTTTTTTTAAAAAAAAAGAAACACGTTCAGCTTCAAGCCTGAGGACCCTGACGCTTCTCAATGAAGTTCTTCTCACCAAAGGCCTGCTTGACGCCCTCGGCCTGGAGGATCCGCTCGTACCAGGTGACCACAGAGGGGAACTTCTGGCGCATTTCAGCGTCGATGGCCATGGAGAAACCCCAGACCAGGGCAGAGGCAACAGTGATATCAGCCAAGCTGAGCTTTTCATTGCTTACGAACCAGGTACGGTCCTTGAGGTGAGTCTCTAGGCATCCTAGCGAGCGTTCCAGACGCGCGAGATTGGCCACCTCGACTTTCTCATCGTAGGTTTGGTAACCGAGACGCCACAGCGCCAACAGGGTGACAGGGTCAAGAATCTCCCCCTGGGCATAGCAGATCCACTGCCGGATAGTGGCGCGCTCGGCGGGGGTAGCTCCAATGAGCTGCTCGGCAGCCGGACCGCTCTCGGCAATGTATTGGGTGATGGCATCCGACTCGAAGAGGGTTGTTCCATTGGCAGCCTCAAAAGCGGGCACCTTACCCAAAGGGAACTTGGATAGGAAGTCCGGGGTGCGATTGGTCTTCCCCAGGGCAAATTCCGGAACCGCTATCTCCAGGCCATTCAGGTTGCCCGCAGCCTGGGCCTAGTAGAGGGGGAATTAGATTAGCTTAGGGTTTAGAGGTATTGACCATGGTTTATTTACCTTCATGACCCGAGGACTGGGCTGATAGGAGTAGATAGTGCCGAATGGTGCCATTGTGGATATGAATGAGGTGTGAGTATGTTGTATAAATACAATCTACATAGTAAATAGTCAAATTGAGGGGTTGTCTTTTATATGAAAGCCAAGGAATGGGGCAGAATCAAGTGGAACTCCCGAGGTCGGATTACCCGGATTTCTAAGCAGCTGAGGACGTTGACTAAGATATAAATTTAGTCCTACCTCAGGGGATATAGAGATATGAAATGTATATCCTATTTATTCCTATTCTATTTCCTATTCTATTTCCTATTCTTTTTTCATTCTCAATTCGAGCCAAATACAAAGTGTCATACAAAGTCTCATAGATCGACTCATATTAAGAATCTTAACTCACACCAAACGCCAACCCATAACAGTGGAGTCTAGTTATTTTCCAAAAGGAAAATAAAAAGAATAGTCCAATATTACACCGGATCAAAATAAAAACGCAATCAATCCCAACACATTGCAGACCTACTAGGTCACGCCTAGCACGCCTAGCACGCCTCACCGAGACGCATATAGTTCCAGCAAACTGCAACTCGGGTTAGTTTTTCAATTCACACAATTCTCGGATGATAAAAACGCACTGGTATGTCCCATGTCTTTACCAAACAAGGTCTTCATCAGGTCTTCCCCCTCACGTGTGCCCTCGCCCGGCGTATAACTGACGGCTGTTTTGCCGAGAGCTAGACCCATCACAGCCGGGAATGGCTGCAAGGTCTGATAGTCTGGCTTTCCACCAGTGCACTCTGCCATCATGTGCTGATGGATATTAAGCGCCGCATAATGGCCCATATGCATTGCACCGCCACAGCGCTTGATACCTTCCCACGCAGTGAGGTCTCCTACTGCCCAATGATGCTCTGGGTTAGGAATGGCGCCGGAGAATTGGAGTCTGCACAGATATTAGAAACGTTCTGTCAATAAACTGGTCCAGGAATCAGCCTTACGAGCGGTGCACTTTGATGTACCCCT